AGCATGGGGGATCTTTCTGGACCGGGGCACGAACCCGTGTCCCCTGCATTGGCAGGCGGACTCTCAACCACTGCGCCACCAGGGAAGCCTCCCCCACCTCAGGTATTTCTTATAATGTCTTCTTAAATTTATTGTATTTTTTTTTCCCATGCAACTTGGCCCCTTAAAACCAAGCCAACTGCTTTATCTGGGATTCAATGGGAAGAAAGGCGATGTGTTTCCTTATTAGAGGAGAATGTTCTGGTGGACTCACTTGCTAATGCTTTGTGGCTACATTGTATGTTAGGAGTGATTTAAAGTCTTGTCAAGGGTAACTTTCACCCTCCCTGCTGACATTGGGACCACTGTCCCTCGTAAGTCATTAACCGTCTACAGAGTCATCCTGTCCTGGTTTTATGATCTTGAGAAAGACATTTACCTTCTTGGACATTAATTTCCTCATCTGCTAAAGGAGATAAGTGATCTTTTGGGTAGCTTTTAGTGCTAACATTCTGTGATGCTAGGGAATACAGTTCAATGAAGGGAATGTATATAAAAACATTTTGCTCAATGAAAAATTACAGAGTTGCATATTCTTATTCTCAGAGCCACTACCACCTCTTCTTACCTCATTCCCCAACCAGAGATCGAACCCCTGCCCCCTGCAGTGGAAGCATGGAGTCTAAACCACTGGACAGCCAGGGAAGCCCTCTTGTGTCCTCTTCTTAAAAGGACACTCCAGTCACTGTCCTAGGGCCCACCCTAATGGCCTCATCTTAACTTGATTACATTTGCAAAACCCCGATATCTGAATGTCACATGCCCAGGTTCCGGGAATTGGAGTTGAACCTGTAATTTGGAGGCTGCCATTCAGTCCACGGCACACTAAGGCGGTGCCCCGGCAGTGGTCCTGGCCAGTGGGCCATGCAGCAGAGAGCAGGGGGAGAGGAGCAGGTATTCCTGGGTCCAACCCCCTGGGGCCAAATCCTTGCTCTACCTGATTCCAGCCGGCAGGCCCGGCTGAGAGCCTGTACCTCAGTTCCCCCATCTGTATAATGGGGACACTTAACAGCACCTGCTTCATGGGGCTGGGGGAGACTTGGAACAGCGCTGGTGAGCAGTCGCCTTGGTGCAGGTGTCTGTTCTGATGACCCCAGCCGCCTGGCACGGGCAGGGGACTCAGCACCTGAGGACACAGGGGCGGGGCGGGGAGTGGGTAACCTGCCCTTCAGTTCCTGCTCCCCAATGCTTACCTCTCCTCCAAGGGCTCAGCCTGCATCCTGCCCCAGGTGATATCTGGTCCCTGGCAGCCACAGGCCCTGGTGCTCAGTGGGGCCTGCACACTGAGTACGGGGCCACTCGGAGCCGCCCTTTGAGGGGCCAGAAGGGCTGACTCCTGGGTCCGCTTGTGGCCCAGACGCCACCTGGAGAAAGCAGGCCGGACCTGGGATGGTGGAGTCCACCTGTCCACACGTGTGGTCGTCCACGCCCCCTGGCCTGCCCCCTTCGGGGCTCTTATGGGTCTGGAGAAAGGCCCCTTTTGGGAGGTTGTGAATGATCTAAAAGTCCTCTCTGTGCACATGTCCCTTTGGGGGCTCCTGCCATCATTTGGGTCCAGTCACCTCCTCTGAGGGGCCTTCCTTGAACATCCCGCCGCTGCCAACCCCCTGCTTCTTACCATCAGGGCACCACTGCCAGCTTTCTTGACCACGGGCACTTGACGGGGAGCATGTTGATCCCCACCTCCTGCCCCATCCCCACCACTAGAAGGAATGTATCAGGGAGGCTTCCGGGAGGAAGTGGTGCCCCACCTGACACCTGAGAACCAGCAGGAGAGGCCAGGAGGGGAGCATAGCGCATTCCAGGACCTGCAAATAGCTCAGGGTGGCTCACGGCCCTAATGATAGCACCTGGGAGCCCCATCAGGAGGTGAGCCTGGGCAGGTGCCCCCAAGGTGATGCCTGGGCCAGGCTGCACACCATGTCTTCATCTGCCCGTGGGCATGATGGGCGGGTGCCAGGCTCAGAGTGACGCCAGCATTGCCATTGCAAGCCCCCTCCCTGGGTCTGACGTCTTCTCAGTTCTGAGGCCCTGAGTCCCAGATTCCGCAATGGAAACGGGAATAGGAGTCCTCTGCAGCTGGCCTCGTGTGGAGCGGCTCCTGGGAACCTGCACCACGTTCTATTCGTATCTGTTGTGAAATCAGGCAACAGTCCTCGCCTGCCTGTGGTCTGACTATATTTTCCTGCCACCCCCCCCCCATTATAATCACAAGTGGATTTATTCAAATGAGGCATTAAGTCATATTAAACGTGTTTGTCTGTTCAAGAGGCTGAAGGTACAAGGCTGGAGGTCCTGTTGGTTTCCTGGGGCCGTCACAACGAAGGACGCTAAACCGCACAGCTTAAGCAACAGAAATGTGTTCTCTCCCAGTTCTGGAGAGTCATGTCTGAGCTCGAGCTGTAGGTAGGCCCCGCTCCCACCCCCGGAGGCTATGGAGGAGGGTCTCTCCTGCCTCTCCCAGATTCTGGGGGCTCCAGGTGTCCCCAGGCTTGTGGCCGCGTCCCTCCAGCCTCTGCCTCTGTCCTCACGTGGCCTGTCCCCGTGGCTGTCTCCTCTTCTTTCAAAGATACCGGTCATATTGGAGTTAGAGGCCACCCTACTCCAGTGGGATCTCATCTTAAGTAATTACATTTGCAAAGAGCCTCTTATTTCCAAATTAGCTCACACTGTGGACTTCTGGGTGGACATGGATTTGCGGGGTTGCATTATTCAGTCCAGTACAACAGGGCAGCTGTTGCAGGTGTCCTCGAGTTTCTGGAGCCTCTACACGATGTGAAGGCTGAGGGGCTTGGGGGGTGGCCTCCCACTGCCCAACCTCCCACTCAGGGATCTGCCCTCACCCTCCCAGGCCCCGGCAGCATCCCCAGGGACCCGGGGTGAGTCGCCCGCCCTCCAGCAGCAGACCCACTGGCTGCCTGGGCTTCCTGCCTTGCCGTATCAGCTTTAAAAACCCACTCCCAGGGGACTTCCCTGGCAATCCAGTGGTTACAACTATGCGCTTCCACTGCAGGGGGTGCGGGTTCGATTCCTCGCTGGGGAGCTAAGATCCCGCATGCTGTGGGCCAAAAAAAAGAAAGAAAGAAAAAGAAAAAGATCACTCTCAGCATGTGGGGCCTCGTGTCTTTTTTGTTTTGTTTTGCCTGCTGATCCCTGATCCGACCTGGAGGCCACACCCCAGCATCCCCCCCGCCCGGGACCCAGGCATGAGCACGCAGACCCGCCCAGAGGATCCGGTCAACCCGGAACCCCCAGGGTCAATAATAAGGTCATTGTCATCACTTCAGGCACTAAATGCTGGGGTGACTTGTTAGGCAGGTAACTGCCTTGGGTTTGTTCCACTTCGTTTTGGGGCCTTTTTTCTTACTGGCCTATTCTTTTTTTAACGTAAAACATTTACAAGGTTCAAAAGTCGAACACATGCAGGGCCTGTCCTCGTGGGGTCATAGCTGTTGTGCTCCATGTGTGGCTGGGAGCCCCCCAGAGCAGCCGGCACCGGCCAGCAGGCTGGCTCCCCACCTGCTCTGGGGGTGATGCTCCTATGAGCGGGCCGCGGGGGTGAAGGGCGAGCGTGGCCACCACTGGACAGTGCCAACCCCGACCCCAGCCCCCTGCCTCGCCATCGCTGAGAGCGAGACCTGGATGGCGTCTCCCAGCCCCGAGGGCTCCATCGCTGGTTCTCGCGGATCTGACCTGGCCCCGCGCTTCTGCAGGTGGAGCCGGTCCCGGCTCACTGCCACCCTGCTCCATCCAGGCCTGGAGCTCAGGTGGGGATTCTCAGCCCCAGGAGTAAGAATGCGAGAGCAGGGTGGTGAGGACACGCTCTCCTGGCTGGGACCTGGGGACATCGCTGCCCTGTGCTGCTGAGATCCCCCCTCCTCCCATCTCATCGCCAGCCGTGCTGAGCCGGCCCGCCCGCCCGCGGAATCGCTGCGGAGACAGGGCGCCGAGCTGACCCAGCAGGACCCGGGCACCCGGCCGAGCAGCCTTTGTGTGCGGCGCCAGCGGGCTCTGCCAGTTTGAGCCTGTCTTTTTCCTACTCAAATGCCTCCGAATGTGCCTACACACCAGAGATTAGCCGACAGCCATCGGCACGGGGGCAGGGTCGGGGGGGTGGGGGGGACAGTCCTCGGCTGAAGCCGCTCAGTGGCCTGAGCTCCCGTGTCGTGACCTGCTGACCAAGCAGCCCGGCCGGGCCCCCTCGAGCGCTGATCGTGCAGGGTGACAGCAGACAGAGCCCGGCCTCGCGTTTGGAAGATTTTATTACTGACGTTTCAGGGCTGAAGGTGGCCCAGCCCTCTCCGGACAGAATCCTTAACTTAGACCCCGAGGAGCGCTGTACGCGCGCCCGGAGCAGGCAGGCGGCAGAGTCCCCGGGGCCGTGTGGAGCCTCACGGGACGCTTCCGTTCTGAACCAGCTGCAGATACTCCCTGTGCAGCTTTTCCTGGGCCTCGAGGAGCTTCTTCAGCTTCTTGGCCTGCCCTCTGCTCAGCTCTCTGCCTTCCGTGTCGTGTGTAGGCAGACCCTGAAAGGCAAGTGCACGGGTGGCCACCGCCCACTGCCCAGGCCGGTCCGCCTGCCCGGCATCCAGTGCTCTGGACCCAGCGCACTGCTCCGAGGTGCCCGCGCTAGCCTCTGGGAAGCGACCATCCTGGGGTGCCCCCCTGCCTGAGGGGTGAGGGGCACCGCTCCCCACCAGGGTCGACATGGCTCTGATACGAACAAATACGTACAAGACCAGTGAGGGAGGCCTGAGGGTCTCGAGGCCAAGCGGCCATGAGTAGCCACGCTGAAGAGCCCCTGGAGCAACGGGCACATCTGTGCCGTGGCCCCTCTGGACTGTCTGTGGGGGTGAGTCCCTGCAAATCCATCAACTGGCCCAGGCCATGGCGCCCGGCACCAGAGCCGCTGGGCCGCGGTGGGGGAGGGGCGGGCCCGGGTACTGGGCTGCACGTGCTGGACCTGAAACAGCCCCACATAAGCCCGCCTTCCTGCAAAACAGCACCCTGGACAGAGAACCTTCTCAGCCAAGTTTGAAAACCCCTGTCATCCCAATTTAAGGGTCTAACAACGTTCTGAAAAGAAAGAAAGGATTTCTTACGTTTTCATCGAACTTGGAATACTTGTCGCTTTCTGACAAGAACATCTCGCTGGGCGGAACCTTCATCTTGGCCAGCCTTGCCGCCTGGAACACAGACATGGGGTCGCTGCTCTGAGCCCGTGTGGGGACCCACGCCCATAACCCTGTGTCGGCTCCCATCCCAGCCCCCAGGTTCAGGGAGCGACAGCTGGGCAGAGGGAAGTGAAAGGAGGGAGCCAGGTGTTTTCTGCAGGAACAGGGGGACGGCCGTGCACGCAGCACAGCAGGATCAAGGCCACAGAAGCCGTCCTGGAGCTCGCGGCCACGTCTGTCCCTGCCCAGGGCTCCCGGCCTCCCTGGGGCACTGTGCTGGGGACGGAGGCAGAGGGGGTGCCCGGCTGGGCCCCAAGGAGGCACAGGGGGCAGGGCATGGGGTCAAAGTGCGTTTCCGCCAGGAGCCCGCCCCCAAGCAGACGTTACTTCCTGCTCTTGTCTCTTCCTGGCGGCCTCCTCTTTCTTCCTTCTCTTTTCTTCTTCAGCCTGGGGGACAGCAAACGCCCCGTGAGCTGGAGCTGCCCAGGCCCCTCTTGGGTGGGAGAGGGGCAGGACCAGCCCCCTGCCATCCCCCCGCCCACCCCTGTGAGCTGGGCTCTGACCCAGCCCTGCTCTCGACGCGGGGCGGTGACTGGACACCACGCGTGAGGTCACCTGCAGCACACCAACATGAAGAAAGGACCAGAGCTGCCCGGCAGCGGGGGGCTGCGGTCGGGTGCGGGACCAGGGACTGCACGGCGAGGGCCACCCCTGAGGGGCCCGGGCACCTGGGGAGGGCGGGAGGGGGGCTGGCTGGAGGAGACGGGTGGGAGCCAGAGCCCACTTCCCACCAGGCAGGCAGCGTCCGGGCAGGAGGCAGGGAGGAAGGGAGAGCCTGGGGGCTGGGCCGGGTGCCCGTGAGGAGGGGCCCGAGGCTGCCTCGGGAGGTTTGGGCTCGGTCCACCATGTGGACAGCGTGTGCCGCGGATAGGAAGGAGGAACGGGTTTGGGGAATGAAGGTCAAGCGTTCCCTCTTGGATGTCTTGGGTTTCGGGTGCTTCCTGGCCAAGCGGAGCCCTCAGGTAGGCGGCTGGACACAGGAGTGTGGGCCAGAGAGAACTCGGCGGTCACAGACACACAGGTGGCAGAGGGGCCCTGGGACGGGGTGAGGTCACCTGGGTCGGGGGACGCCAGAGAGGCGGGAAGTGCAGGCAGTGCAGTGGGGGAAGCAAAGGGAGGGTCCCAGAGAACAGGGCTCAAGGGCGGGGCCACCCCAGGATGCGCCTTGTCACCGGAGAACCTGAGCAGAGCAGGAGGGGCTGAGGGTGGACGGAGGAACAGGGACCCAGCACGGAGCTCGGGAGGTGGGAAGACGGGTGCCGAGGGCTTTCGCTTTTCCACTTAGAGACCAGAGGTACTTATCCCGCTGGGGGAGCAGAAGACAGCCTACAAGGCCATGGTCCCAGGCGCCTCCACACAACGGGGCCTGGGGTGGGATTCCCTCGGCTGGAAACTCGAGCTACCAGAGGGAAGGTGTACGGCAAATCCCTCCCGCAGAGGCCTTATGGCCAGTGAAGACATGGGCAGGGGTGCCCGATCTGAGTTCACTGCCCTGTCTTTACGCCCCGGGCCGCCTGGGGGGAGAGCAGGAGTGAGCCCCACATCACCTCCGGGGAAGGGCCGGGGCGGCCCACACGCTGCGGTGTCCAAGGATGGGGAGAACCCGACCCAGGGGACGTGACGCCAGCGGGGGTGACCGAATGGGATGGAAAGGGGGGGAGGGGCCAAGAAGAGCCTGGACGGGGGTCAAAGCCCAGCTCCCGGAACCTCGCACCAGCCTGACTCCGGCCAGACCTTCCCCGGTACCCGGGCTCCTTAATTCTCATGCTCGGCCCCTCCTGGCGTCCACACCAGCGTCCCCGGCACCCAGCACGGCCCCGGGCCAGCCTCGCCGCTCGTCTCCGTGACCCCCCACCCCCCCCCCCCCCCCCGTTCCCCCT